TGTTACACTTTGTAGGGAACCTTCTCTGGGACTGTAGCTGTCTGGCAGCCCACAGTTACTGGCTCGGGAGGGGTTTTTCCCTCTGACTGGGTCTCTAGGACAGTCCCCCTTGTTTTTTCTGAGCCTGCCCTGTAGTATGTTGGCCGGCTGTGCACTGGCTCATTCACGGTGCCTGCTCCCTGGTACACAGCTTTTGTTATAGTCCTCCGCACTGACCAAGAGAGCAGACCCACACTGAATCCCACCGAGGTCTGGCCTGTTGGTTTCAGAGGCTTGAGCTGTGGGAGGCACAGGGTGGCAGTTAGAGTGCTGGCAATGGGATCTGGCTCCACTACCGGGGTCTTTTATATGAGTTAGCGACAGCCCTGCAACCACCTTTTTCCCAAGTAGCAGAAGAGGTGTTGTGCTCTGATAGGATCCCTGTGCAGGTCTGTCGTGCTGCTATCAGCATCGTCCAGCAGACTGTGGGCTGTTAGTGGAGCCTCTAGTCAAGATCCCTGCTTCATAAAACACAGTAGGCTAAGTCAGCAGTTGGAACGGAGCAACCCTAAATGACCCCCAGGGAGGTTTATACTGTTCGTTTCAGAGGCCGGAGCTATGGGCTGTGCAGAGAGGCAGCCAAGTGCTGACTGCAGGAGCACACGTCACTGCAGGGCCCTTCTGTAGAAAGTCCTAGCAGTTTTGCAGCCCACAGTGCCTGGTAGGAATCCCAGGGGAGGGCTGCCCTGTTGACATCAGGTCCCCCCCTACTATGTTAGCTGTGGGCGGAGCCTCCATAAGGATGTCTGCTTTCCCGCCCACGGCAGCCTCACGCTGCAGTCCTCATCACTGACCAGCAGGGGGAGCACGCCGACCTGAACTGATTTCCCAGGAGGTCTTTGCTGTTGGTGTTGAGACTGTGAGGAGACTCTAGTGCACGAACCTTCTGCAGCCGGTGGTTTCCACATGGTGGTGGTGCCAGCAGACTCTTAAAGACTTTTCGAGCAGGGGGTCGGGGTCCTGTCCCCTTGTACAGGTAGGGGCTATGCTAGTTAGGAGAGCAGTGACCTTTTCCGAGGCTCTTGCTTCAGTTCACAGCTGGTGGTGGCCTGCCGGCAAAGAGGGGTTTCCCCCACTGTGGACCGCTAATTACTTTGTCGATTCTTCCCTACCTACAGTTGCCCAGGGCTTTCCACTGCTCACTTATTCATGATCTGCCCCCAGACTGAGCGCCGCAGCCTTCTGGAAAACGGTCGGGACAAAGATCTGGTTTTGCCACCATCTTCCCCGCATCCCCATAGTAATGCTTTTGATCCCTGAGCATGGGTTATCTTTCCATTTATTCAGAACCGCTTTGAATTCCGTCAACAATCTGTGGATTTCGTCAATATATATAGATAGTGTCTCTTTCCCAGTTTCTTTCCCCAAAAGATCTGGTGTATAATCCAGATGGGAGAAGAAATCGGAAGTGATGCACTGTAAGGCACATTTTTGGTTCTGAAGGAAATAGTAGACTTTGGATAGAGAATTGCCTCTGGAGACACCATTGTAATGCCAAGAAAAACTTGACTAAAGATTGTGACATTCTAGGTGAGGTTACTACCAAATAGTTTGTAGCTCCAATTTTTAGATCCGTTTAACCCTTAAGTACTATTGTTCTTACTGAGATGGTTCAGATTGTAAGTGGTAGACCAGGTGATTGTTTGGAACACTGTTACTGGTGGTGGTGCTGTTGAATTGAGCATGACTCATAGCGAGCCTGTGAACAACAGAGCTGAACCCTGCCCTTTCCTGTGCCATCCTCATCCTCTCTGAAACACTAGAGCCCACTGCTGCAGTTACTGTGTCAGTCCATCTGGTTGAGGGTCTTCCTCTCCTTTGCCAACCATCCACCTTCCCAAGCAGGATGTCCTTTTCCAAGGAATAGCCTCTCCTAGCTACATGTCCGAAGCATGAGAGAGGAAGCTTCGCCATCTTTGCCTCCAAGGAGCGCTTTGGTTGCACTTTCTCCTCTCGTTCTTTTGGGGTGGATAATCAGTACTCTTCTCCACCACTGCAGTTCAAAGGCATCAATTCTTTTTTTTGTTGTTGTTGTTCATTGTCCATCTCTCATATGTGCAGCAAGTGATTGAAAAGACCTTAGTCTGAATCAGGCGCACCTTAGTTTTCAAACTGACATCATTGCTCTCCAGTATTTTGGAGAGGCCCTTGACGGTAGAATTGCTCAGTGCAATACATCTCTTTTTTTTTTTTTTTTTTAAATAATTGTAAG